GTAATTTTAGTTGCAGTTTCTTATTGTTTAGGATTGGGAATCAAGGGGGGCGGGGTGTTAGTGTTCTCTCAACCTTCTCAATACAAGACATTCCTTAGCAAACAACATTTGATTCCTAATCCTAAACAATAGGGACTACAACTAAAGTTACAAAACCAATCTCTTTATATATGGTCCAAGAATTTAGGACTGAGTAAGGGCTGAGATTTTGGCTGTTATGGAGGGAGTGCAGAAGGCACAAGAGTTGAATTTGAATAAACTGGTAACAGAAGGCGATTCAAAGCTGATAGTGGATTTGTTGCAAAAGAAAGGAACTGGTTTCTGGATCTTTAATGGTGAGAGGAAGAAGTTCAAGTGGCTGACACAGAATATGGATGTGAAAGTTCATTTGGTCAAACAAACTGCTAATGCCTTTGCTGATGTTCTCGCAAAACAAGGGGTAGGAAGAAGTCAATTATTCTGGGCTCAGTTATAACTGTTTATGTTTTTTTTTTTTTTTTTTTTTTTTGAGGAGAGTTAAGAAAGTTTACCTCTCCTCTTCTCGTATTCCTGCTATTTAATTAATAAAATTTGTTCTGTTACCGATCAAATAAAAGTTTTCATCATCATATTAACTACTTGAAGTAATGCAATTGGGAGAGAAATAAACAGATTGAATATGTTTTTTATGTTATATTTATGTATTTTAATTTGAGCCAATAGGCTTTTTAAAACATTAGTTTCTTTTAAAATTTAAGTTCACATTTTTTAGAACTGTTATTATACTTAATATTTTTGATTTTTTGAAAATTTGCACCTTGCTTCAAAAAGGTGTGCACCTTGTGCTTCGAGTGCAAAAAAATCCTTTGCACTATTCTTGCACCTTGTGTTTTTAAAAGACTGCTTGCAGTAATTGGCTAAGTCATTAGCTGATCTAGGAGTCGGTCTGGATCCTAAAGCCTTAGCCTCTCCAGAAATATGTCTAACAGATCAAGGGCCTTCTGCATTTGTTGTCAGCAACTTGATTAATGCTTGGCAAACTCCTTCAATGTCCTGGTTATTCCACCCTGAAGAGAATGCCAATTTTAGACCTTGAAGCATTGTTGGGAGTTCTGCCTTTAGAAAGTTGCTTTCACCATCTGACCCTGAGAAACTCCACATGATATCAACTTCATTATCTCTAATGACTTGCCCCATGCTTGATGGGCCCAGGTTTCTAGGTAGCACCCATGAAATCTTATATTTAGTTTCCCATACTCCTTGGTTACCCAATTCTGTAACACTTAAAATTCGTTGAGGTGCCAATCCAGTCACCACATTCCCGCCTCTTAAAATTGAGTCCATGCTCCTTAAACTCTCCCTTGGTTAGAACCCAATGGCCACTCTGGCCTTTGTTAATTCACTGTTCGGGAAGCAAGGTCCATCTTATTCAATCACCTTGGTTTGAGCTTCATCAATTTAACCTTATTACAGGAACTGCTTCCCCCTTTACTCATTCAGGATTGGTGCTGAAAACCATCTTCAACAACTTCCCGTTGACTTTAACTCTCTTGTTTTTCCTGTTCAGTGTTTGTCTTCTTTCGTCCTTCCTTCTCTTCTCTATGTGATACGAGAAGAGTTTGTCTTGGTGGAAGCCTCTGTTTTTTATTCAATCTCCTCCCTCAAATACGTTTCTGGTGTCCCCCTGGGTTTCTGAGGTTAGGAGGGAGCTGTCCTTAAAGTTGAATGGGGCCTCTAAGTCTGTGGGGATTAATATGGAAGAGAGAACTATAAGGGAAAGGGATGAAACTTTGGGGTATGTGGTGTCTCAATGGCCTATGAATTATTTGGGGATACCCCTAGGGGATAACCCGAGGAAAGAGAGTTTTTGGAGCCCCTGTAATTGATAGATTTCAAAAGAAGTTAGCCTCTTGGAAGAAAAATTACTTATCTCTGGATGGCAGAATCACTTTGATTAAGTCTACAACTCTACATTGGCTAGTTTACTTGTGTATACTTATCAGTTTTTAGAATCCCAATGAAGATAAGTAGACTTTTGGAAAAATTGATGAGGGACTTCTTGTGGGAACCAGGGGAGGAGAGGAAGGATCACAAGGTAAATTGGGAATTGGTCTCTAAAAGTAGGCTGATGGAGGGTTAGGATTAGGTAACATTCGAAAGAAAAATGAAGCTTTGTTGGGAAAATGACTATGGAGGTTGGAAGGTGAGAGGGGGTAGCTGTGGACTAGGGTAATGTTCAGTATTCATGGTCAGGCAGAGGATGGCTGGGATACCGGGTCTTTGGCAAGGTCAACTGGAGCCTCTCCTTGGAAATCCATACATGCCATTCTACCTTCCTTTCTGCAACACATCAGGTATGACCTTTGCTCTGGGAATCAGGTAAAATTTTGGGAGTACATTTGGGTGGGTGACTTACCTTTGAAACACCAATTTCCTTCCCTATTTTCACTTTCCTAGTATAAAGGCAAGGTTGTGTCTAGTTTTCTGGTTCCTTCTTAGTCTAACTTTGGGTTTGATTGGGATCTGGGGCTTAGGAAAGGCCTAAGGGATTCGGAAGCTAAAAATGTAATGAATCTGATTCATAAATGGGGTGGTGTTGGATTCTCTGAGAGGGATAAGAGACTGTGGACTCTAGCTCCCTTTGGACATTCTCTTGTGCTTCCATCTTTAAGTCCTTGCAGTCAACCAGTAACCTTGCACAAAATTTTCTAGTAAAGGAAGTTTGGGGTGAGCCGATTCCTTCGAGGATTGGAGCTTCTGTTGGGAAGCCTTCTTGGAAAGATGCAACACCTGTGACTTACTCCAAAGGAAAAGGCCTTATTGGTGCTTGTCTCCAAGTTGGTGCATTCTTTGCAAGGCTAATGGTGAAAGCTCTTACCACTTATTAATTTCTTGCCCTTTTTCTTCTGTTATTTAGGATTGGTTTCTTTCTCTATTTGGTTGCAGGTGGACCCCCCGTCAAACATTCAAAGCTTGTTTAGCTCTTCGTACCTTAGATGCCCAAAGAAAAGGGGAAGGATTATGTGGAAATGTGTGAGGGCGGCTACTTGCTTGATTCTATGGGAGGAAAGGAATTCCAGAATTTTTTTTGGAAAGGAAAGAAGTAAAGAATGTATTATTGAAGCCATAACAGTTAGGGTGGTGCATTGGCTAAAAGCTGTGGAGCTGTTTGATGATGTTTCTATGGATATGTTGCTGAACAGCTGGGTGGAGGTGGCTAATTTTCCTCCTGCTCAGTTTTCTGCTTCTCCTGTGTGGTCACCACCTGGTAGTGGATTTATAAAGCTAAATTTTGATGGGAGTAGTGAGGGCAATCCAGGTCCTTAAAGTATAGGAGGTGTCTTCAGAGAAGAGTAAGGAACTGAATATACAGAATTTAATTGTTGAAGGGGACTCAAAGTTGGTGTTAAGCTGGTTACAGAAGGAAAGCGGACTTTGGAAAATTGCTAATGAAAGAAGGGAAATTAAATGGCTAACTAGGGGGATGGACATCCAATTTCAGTGGGTGAAAAGAACAACAAATGCGTTTGTAGATGCTTTGGCAAAGCAGGCGGTGGGAAAGGATCAATTGTACTGGGCTGTATTGTGAGCTTTTATGTTGCTCTCTAGGAAAGAGTTAAGCCATTTTAGATCTCTCTGGATTGCTGCATCTATTTTTTTATGAATCTAATGAATTTCTGTTATTGATCAAAAAAAAAAAAAACAACAGGAAGAAAATTCCTCCTTTAGAGGTATCTCTGTACACCATATGTTCTCACAGAAGCCCAACTTATACCCATAGCCAACCTCATACTTGACACCCTTAATGAACTGGTCATATGATTTTTATGTACCCTTCCAAAGTGAAACTTAAACTTATTCCAATTGACTAGGTGGAACTTTCTCTCCATCCTTTCCATACAAATTCTCTCTTACACCTCTCTAAAGTGTTAGTCATACATGCTGGAATGGGGAATAACGACATTGTTATAGGTTGATAGGCTGGATAAAACACACTTAACAAGTACTATCTTACTACCCTTTGACAGGTACCTTGATTTCCTGTCTATATGTTCAACAACCGTTGTCCAGATTGTTTTGCATGCATCTAGCTCCCAGTGACCCAGTGCCAGGTCCAAGTATTTTATGGGAATCTTCCTATTTTGCATCCCAATTCTTCAGCCCACTGTATCAGATCAGGCACTTCACCAACTGCTATGAGTTCTGACTTATGCAAGTTGATGTGCAGTCCTGTTACAACTTCAAACCATAACAGGATTGATTTCAGTTGCTCCAGTTGGTCACGCAAATCTTTTGCTCCCTTTCTATTGGTCCATAGTTTCTTGCTTCTCTCCAGCATTGTAATGATGATGGTAAAGGTCTATGCCATTGTCTTATCCAAGCTCACATATATGGTTGTTTCCTATACAAAAACAGCTTAGATATCACCGTTCTCACTCCTTCATTTCCAACCATAGCTTCAACTGTATTCCTCTTATTCACCTTTTATTTTGGGGTTTAGAGGATTTCTTTGTGTTCAAACAAGTATGCCAAATGATCTAATCCTACAGACCTACCGACTTTGTAAGTCTGTATTTGTCTTTCTTTGTCAATTTAGGGTGACCTTTGGTGTTATTATTTTGATCAGAGGTCTTCCAAGTTACTATATGATCCTTGGTTAGAACACTGGTGCTTTGGGGTCTTCTAGATCCTTGTTAATATATTATCTCTGGTAATGGAGTGTATTATGCTGCTCTGGATCATTGGGGCTGCTAGATCTTTTATCTTTGTGTCATTCCAGTAGGCTAATGAATCATGCCATCATTTCATGTGATGACTAGTTAATGCCTTTGACACTGTGTGAGAACATGGGTACAAGTCTAAGAATGGAAACTTTGCGCAACCAATAGTTAGGTCCTTATTCAGTTCCTTCCCCCTTCCCCACAATGACTCCAGATGGCCAGGATAAGTGTTGAGTAATGGCTGTTTTTTCCTTTTGGATATGTTATGGTCTTATTTGAAATTTCGTCTTCTTTTTACAGGTTTTCCTCAGACAAAATGTGGTACATTGATCATATGCTCAAGGTTCTTTCTGTGGTAAGCAATGAAATCATGATGTAGAGGATACTACAAGATTACTTAAGCTGCACCCTGAGATTTTGCAGGTCATATTTTGGATAGTGAAGCTACATATTCCCATCCAATATAGATTCTACTTTTCATTTACTCTTTGGGTTCAGTCTCTTGTTTTCATTTTAATTTGTGTTACTTATCAGTACAAATAGTATCTGCAGAAAGTCATGCTTTATGAAAGTATCGATTGAGTATTTACCATTTTTTATGGATAATATATGCTTAGTTTTACAGAAATAAAAAATGATATGCTCAAATTTACTATTGCTTCTTTTATTTTGTAATAGTAGTATAAATAACCAGAAGAAGCCACCACTATAATTATTTTGTTTTATATTATTTTTATCTGAATGATCTCCAAGGTTTTCCTTTTGTTGGGCTGCCAGGCTGGAAACTTTGTGAAGGATGAAGTATGGCATGCCCTTATTGTTGTAATAAGCAATGCATCTCAACTCCATGGATATACCGTAAGGTCCCTTTACAGGGCATTCCAAACATCTAGTGAACAGGTACCTATTTTTAAAATTTTACAACATATATGTGCAAAGAGTTCTTTTATTCACATTGTTCTGAAGTTTTTTTTTTTTTTATTCCCATGTCAGGAAAGTCTTGTTCGAGTGGCAGTTTGGTGCATTGGAGAATATGGGGAAATGTTGGTCAATAATATTGGGATGCTTGACAAAGAAGAGCCAATTACTGTGAGTGCATCTTTCTCCATATTTTTGTTATTTTTGAACTTTTAAGTGGTTCCCTAGGGGTAGGGAGTTGCCCTAAAAAAATAATATTAATGGAGAGCAGTGTTTCTTTTATCCTAGATAAGTTAAAATCAAGATCCTACTTTTCAGGCCAAAATCTATTAATGTTTCAACTCAAGTCAATTCATCTTAGCCTTAATCCCAACTATTTAGGGTCAGCTGCATGAATCCTGTCCCATCATTGTGCTCTATCAATAGCCATGCTTTTTTTTTTGTCAAATTACAAGTCCTTAAATTATTATTTTTTTATTTCTTGTCCTTAAATTATGTTTTAATGCTTCATACTACATTTTCATTGGTCTTCTCCCTACTCTTTTAGAGGTCTTCTACTTGCACCAATTCACTCCTCATTGGTGTAGTTATTAATTGCCTTATTGCCTATGCACATGAACAAACCATCTCAATCTGACTTTTCCTCATCTTCTCACTATTTGAAGCTACATCTACATCCTCTCTAATGCACTTATTTTTTATTATGTTGTTTCTAGTCTTTTGACTTATCCATCTCAACATCCTTGGCTACACCACTCAAACAGTTGGGTTGTCCGACCCATCATTTGGAAGAAAGACTGGTTTTGTTTTACCCCTAACTCATTAAAAGCCAAAAAACATTGACTTGGTCAACAAACTTTTGACCATACCTGGTGAGTTGTTCAGCCTGTTCTAAGGGTTGATGGTTCATAATTAATAAAATTTTTAAACTAGTGAGTCAAATGGCTGGTCAAAATCCAGCTTTGGAGAGGGAGAGAGACCTGATTGGAAATTGGCTGGTGATGACAATTGAACAGTGATGATGGTGTTTCTGTAGCTAATTTCTGCCATTGCTGGAGATATTTAATCTCTCTCCCCCAAAGCGTTGATTTTTATATTTGTATCTTTTAGGGTTTTGACTTTTGATGATTTCATGGGTTGAACCATGTAACCTGGACAGTCAAACTAGTGAACCACCACCCAGAAAGGAAAGCGGGTTAGTCACTTATCTGAGTTTTGAAACACTGAGCTTTTGAATATGCTGTTTTGTTTGTGCAACACTCTATCCATACAACAATTTTGGTCTTATAACCGTCTTGAAGAAATTTCCTTGTAGTCTCATTGGCATATGCCGATCATATAGCAAATTGGATGCACATCTCTACTTCAACCACTTTACTCTATTTTTATGGGCAACATCCTCTTTAGTTTCTCCCTATTATGGAAGATTGATCTGAAGTACCTGAATTAGTTTGGGGTATCTCTTGATTATCAATCTTAATTGCAGTCCATTGTTACTAATACTTTTACTGAAGTTGTAGTATATGTATTTTGAAAAAAAAATATATATAATACTATGTTTATACAATATAATTTTATAAAACATTACAATTCTATCATATTATATTATATAAAATATCATAATATAGTATAATATATTGTAAAAATTGTATACATTACTATAGTACATTATAATTGTATTTTTTATAACTAAAAGAAAATTAGAGTACAATCCGGATAGGTGTTAAGGTAACACCTAACAACAGAAATTTAGGACAATAACCTACATATTTTCAAATATCCATCTCATAATTTTGATACACCACCAGCTCCCATAAGCTTTCTCCCAAGTCTTCTCTCTTGATCTGTGAAAACTCAGGGAATATCAGAACCCAATATGCAACAGCTTTGCCAACAGATGCCACCAGTTTGTCTAGCTTCCATTCCTTGTCTTCAAAGATTCTTCTATTCCTTTCTTTCCATATATTCCAACGGATGGCAAATTCTAGCCTTCTTCCCTCCATTGATTCTTGTCCATGAGGAAAAAATTTCAGCAGGTGCCCTTGGCCGGAAATTTCTAATCCCAAAAAGTGCCATGAAGAGGTTCCAGTTCCACAGGAACCCAGAAATTTTGCATGCAAAGGAGAGATGGCTGACTGATTCCTCTCTTCTCTACACATATGACACATTTAGGCCATTCTTAAACCTCTTGTCTTCAAGTGATCCACTTTCAACACACTATCCATAGCCATTAGCCAAGCAAAAGCTTCCACCCTATGGGGCACTGGGTTACCCCAAACCCCAACAATTGAGTCAAAATCCAATTGTTTCCTGCACAAAGCTGAATAACAAGATTTAATAGTAAACTTTCCATTTGAGCATTCTTTCCCCCATAACTCATACCTAGACTGAGCTGAGATCTTCACCCTTTCTAATATCTCCAACAGATTGGGACACTCTTCAATTTCCCTATCAAGCAGTAGTCTTCTGAATCTTGGACATACTAGCTGCTCCCCATTTCTTACATAACAGCTTTGAATACTCATTCCTAGATCAGACAGCCTAAATAGTCTTGGGAAAACCTCACACAATCTTCCTACCCCACTCCAGTCATCCTCTCAAAATCTTATTCTAGCTCCATCCCTAACTGAAAAGCCTGTTAAACTTCTAAACTCCTGATTAAGTTTCATAATCCCTTTCCAAACACTCACCCTGTATGAAGAGCTAACCTCCCTTGATTCCCATCCAAATCTTGTCACCCCCATATTTACTAACTACCACCCTCCTCCATACTAAGCCCAAATCTTCATAACCATTTCCCAAGTAAGGCTTTATTAAATAATCTCACCCTTCTAAACCCCAATCCTCCTTCTTTGGGTCTACACACCTTATCTCATTTAACCAGGTGGAACTTTTTGCCCCTCTCCCCCCACCCCTTCCTATAAAAAATTCCTTTGGATCTTTTCCAATATCTTTGCAATTTTTGGAGGAACCCTCAGCAAAGATAAATAGTAACCCCTCTCCCCCACCCACAAGGATAGGTATCCCACTTTCCACCCATCCAGCCTCCTTCAATGACTGACTTCCAGATTGTGGTGTAAGCAGAATTGCCATCAATCAGCATTCCCAAGTAGGAAAATGGGAGTTCCCAAATTCCACTCAAATGCATCAACACATTCCACCAGCACCCCTCTCCTTATTTCTCCAACCCCTATCAAGACACTCTTTGAGATTTCACACACCTCAAAATCTCTTGCAACCCAATTTACTGAGAAATCACTTAATTTTTTAGGAAGCACCTCCCCAAGTTCTTAATGAGTACATCCTTTTATAGAAATCCACAACTTCTCCTGAATTTCCCCCAGTAGTCCACCACCTCATTCCCCACCTGAACTCTTGTGATCAGATTTCTCCTCCTTGCATTTGCATATGCATGGAAGAAAGCAGTATTTTTATCACCAGCTTTAAACCATAGCAATCTTGACTTTTGTCTCCAACTTTCTTGTTGGACATTTCTCTGATAGATCCCAGGCGGGTAGCCCAACTTCAGATTATCAGGATTTATCAAAAAAAAAAAAACTTCAGATTATCAGGCCCATGCAGGTCAGGAAGCCCATGTGGGTCGTGAAGCCCATGCAGCACCTGCAGTGTTCAACCCAAAGCCTTACAAACCTCCCTTGTTTTTTGTCTACACCTGCAGGCCACGTCAAGATACCCCACATGCATAATTTGTTGGTAATGATTAATTGATAAGTAAGAAAGCCTATATAAGGCCAGTGGGTAGTGAAGAATGTGTGAAGGATCATAATTAACTCTCTTTTTCTATTACTTCCTCTTTCTCCCTCTCCTTTGGTTCTATTTCACTTTTCTGGAGGAAGTAGCTCCCTCAAAGAAGCTCTGTTGATCGAGAGTCTGTTATAATTCAGGTCTGCCTTAGAGTTCGGCCTGACTGAGTTCAGTTATGTAGAAGAAGAAAAAGTGATAAAGAAAGAGAGAAAGAGAGAAAGAGAGAA